CCAATCCGTGCCCCAAAAGAAGGGACACATCACGGGCGTGCAAGGGCCCTGTTGGCGGTCTGACCACGCGCCACTGGTGATGTCGAAGCTTCCTCGCCTCGTACTGAGCGCCTCTGGACTGACCTGCACCGGCGTGCGGAAGCCAAAAAGACTCCCTCCTGACCGGTCTGCCAAGGACTGCACGGGTTCTGGAATGATGAAAGATCTTAGACTTGTTTGGGTACACTTTATGGAAGACGTCTTGATATCCGTAAAGACTCTGTAAACCTGGGCTTTGTGGCCGAAATCGCCCTCGGGGGGGGCGTGACGGTGACGCGTCAACACCTCCCCAAGCCTCTGGAGCATGAAGCATGCCAAGAAGCAGCCCACCACCGCGAGGGATGGTGAGCAAAAGGACATAGATGGTTCCCCAGTCAGGACATAGCGGGACACCTGTAGGTTGGGCACCCATGTCCCTAGGTCCAAAAGAAAACTCACCGGCACTCACCTCAAGTGCACCAGTGATTTGGATCGTCCCCATGACGAAGATCGAAGGTCAGTTCGCCCCCTAAAGTGCCCCAACTGTCCAACTGATGCAAGGAAAGCCAATTAATGCAGTGCTTATGGTCATTTAGGATTGAAGAAAGAGACTCAAGTCGCAAAGAAACCTGTGAGTCGACCATGTGCCGGATTCCCATGCATAGAACCATCGGCAATCCCATGCAAAGCTCCAAGTAAATCTGCTATTCATTGGGAGAGTACTTTCTACCAAATGAGATGATCACTGGGAGTTCATGGCTGCACACCCTTCCTTTATGCACTTCTTGCATCACTTTGTGCTGCAATCATCGCTCTTCTCGCCTGGCTCAAGTTGCGCTGCTCGTTGGACACAGCGGCCACCGCTGTCGCACAGGAGTTCAGAGTCTCGGAAGGCGTCAAGCGGTTCTCATCATATAGCCTTAAAAATACAGCTCGACTTTTTGCAAGATGTTTTAAATTAGGACGCTTGAACTCCAACTGTCAAAGAGCCCCCTTTTACCAAAGGTTATGGTCTATAGAGACGCTGGTTCGCCGACATCGAGCACAGAAATTTCGTCTGAAGGGTGAGCAACCTCGCATCGGACACATCTTTGAGCCATCCCATCTGTGAATAAAAAACATCAACGAGCAAGTGCACTTGCTCTATTCGGCCAGCAAGCCAGCTTGTTTTCGATCAACAATGGCGAAGGTCAGGGGGGGCCTTTGCTGAAGCAGTACATGCTGCCACTAAGTCACTACTAGGCTCCTGGCATTCCATCGGCTTGGCCCGGGGCAGCCACATCCTGGCGTGTCGTTCCAGCCAGCTTATCCTCGTTGCCTCCATTCTATGGATTTCCTGGGGATGGAATCCTAGGGTGATCCCTCTGCTGCCACTTACCTTTGACTTAGACAGATCGACCATGGGTTCCCTCCACAAAAAAAATGTCACTACGTAAATCTGGATATACTGCAATGATGTCGCCTTGCAAGTGACACTGAGTTGGTAACGCCCTATAAATATGCCTGCGTTGCATGTATACAAATGGTGCCTCCTCTGCGAAAAAGGGTGCACTTCGTCAAAAAATTGAGGGGCATCGTCATTGTGGGCCTCTATGGAAGGGGGGTACCATGTGTGTGTATATATGAGTTTACTTCAGTTGTCAGTTGCCACTAATGAAGGTACATGTTTTGGCATGATTTACCTTGAACATACTAAAATGACTTGCAATAATACCTTGATATGCAAGTGTTTTCATGACGAGCAGCATGGCATTGCTTTTACTTTGCTTGCAGCTTTGATGAATGCTTCAAAGACTCAGGGTAAATCAATAATGATTTTAATATGCTATAAATGTAATTGTCGGTGGTGTAGGAGCGGCGGCTTTGACATGTTTAAACTATAAAATGTTTGATAACAAGGGCATTGCGTCCAAAGATCGTCTGGATGAATCGAAGCTAATTCGTTAATGGCTGGACAAATACATTTACCAATCATATATATGTTTCTCCCAGTCAAGCTATGGTTGGTGATGTATTCATAGTATAGGGTTGTCTGTGCATAGGGGGAACGGTGACACCCTTCTTCGTAAGTCCAAAAGTTCATGACTGCAAATCCAATCGTTGCTAAAGGTAGCCAAATACCTGATATTGGTCTTCAGAATACATAGGCAAAGTGAGTCAAAATCTAGTAATTGCTACTAGGAGATCAGCCTATCTTTCTGACTCAATCTAATATTAGGTATTCCCTATACAATTTCCCTATATCTAGAGCTTTGTTGGATGCAAAGGCAGGAAAGGCTACAAGAAATATGACACCTATATGATGTTGTACGAGCTATGGAAGTAATCTACATTGGATGTGAAAGACCGTTAAAAGGATCAATGAAGGCTGCTCCAAATGCCACCAAGTTCATGGGGACAATAGCTTTGTGATTCTACCATATGGCACACACACACACCAGTTTGTTGCGCTCGGAGGTCTCCACGTCCCGCGGCTAGCCCTTCCACGTCTCGTGGGGTACTCCTATATATATATATATATGGATAGATACTATGGCTAGTGACTACCATCCCAGACACGACCCGTCTGGGACTGCCATAGGACTGCCGATCAGTTGGGGTGGTGAAAAAAGGGGGGTCAATGGGGCGGCATATATTTATGGCAGTCCCATGGAGTGTCTGGGCATTGAAAGCTCTGCAGGTCTGTCCTGTTTCGGTCTGTTTTCTGCGGCACTCCTGCAGGAGGCGGCATCCATCGGCGAAAGCCTCGAGCCACGGCCACAAGCACGTCCTGTTCGCCACTTACGATGGGAGGGAACCTCCCGGACCAGCGGAACTGATTGAACTGATTTGACCTCAGCTGCGCCGACTGAGGAACTACAAACTGGGTCCTGGAACTTCCCAAACTGTTTCACGAGATCTTCAAGAGTGTTGTTCCTGAGGAACTTCGATGATGGGCTCTGACTGAGCTCCAATTCATCTGGGAACCTGTCGGATGATGACGCTGTCATATGCTGTCGCTCCTAGGAAAGGACATTGTAACGCATCCCGACGGTTTACCCCTCAAAGGGACCACACCTGACCCTCCTGCGTCGTGCGTCAGACCTACAAAGCAAATGTTCTGAAAAACGAGGCAAATCCAATGGATTTCACCATATATATTATATATTCACCTGTCAACGGGTTCTGGGGATATGGCAATGTGGACTGTCTTCTCAATTGATGCTCCACGGGCGTAAGCTCCAGTCAAACTGGGAACAACCTGAATAAATCATCAGTCTTGCCAGTTGACTAGTGACTAATGTTGACTATCTACATAACGTTTACCTGCTTCAACCGTGGTCTGAGGATTTTCATCCGATGGGTTCCGGTGTCCCGCTTGTATGACATGATTCCTTGCATGGGTACAGCACCTAGCTCAAGTCAAGTCATTGATTCCGGCTCTGATTCCGGCCCCAGAATGAAACACCAAACAGATCAAAATTGGAAGTAAAGGAACATCTTCAACCCCTTAGCCATGTTCCATGAACCCACGAAGGCCATGTTCGGGTGCGCAACTGCACATCTACTACCCCCGGCTGTCCTGGTCCCCGTCTGCTCGTTGCCAATGCTGCAATTGCATCTGGTTTGGACCTGAGGTCGCGACCTCCACGCCCATGCACCCACAAGATCACAAGATCACAAGCATCCTACCGGTGATTCTTTGCTCTACAGTCCTTCCAAGCTAAGCCAAACGGACTCCGATGTTTTTCATGGCTTTTCACTTGAGAAATCTCGTGCAACGTGAGGGTTTTCCCACCACTGCCAGGGTTCACGATTCCCGATGTCCATCAAAACCGCCGGTGCGTCCATTCTTCTGGGCATCTAGGCAAATGCAAGGATTTGCAATCATGTCCCATCTTCTCCAAATATCCTCAAATGAACATCCAAAACTGAAAAGAGCAATTCCAATCAGCAGAAGCAGTGAACCCACAACTTACCCACCCTCACAGAAGCGTGTTGGTGCATCAGAAGCAAACCTGGCGTGCAACAGGTTCAGCTATTAAAAAGTCAGTGTGTTCCTGAATCTCGCTTATCTTCTATTTGCACCATTTTTTACCCACGGCCACCACATGAATGAGTACTCAAATGACGGAGACTTCCTCGTGAACCATTGGAAACAGAAACAGACTGAAACATACCCAACCCCCTTGGTTGGGAGCATCCCAAGAAATCCATACAATGTGTTGATCCACGTGCGGTCTTGTCAACATCCAATGCTTCCTCGGTTAGGACATGGGAAATTCCAGTGAGCAAGCATTTAACATATACATGTATGTGTATATGAATATATATATATACACACAAAATTGAATGCCTTGGTTACTGTCACCATGTTCATCCCCGGCTAAATACATCCAAATCTAGGGGCTGGTCTCCTGATGATAAAATACATGCCCCCGCCCGGAATACTTCGAGCATCCATCATCCATCCGCTCGGGTGCCCGCCCGGGGAGCCCCCACGCGCCAGGCGGAAGCGCTCCCAAACACCGCCCCGGTGGATGCCCTGCAGGCGGTGGCCTCGTGACGGGGTTCATGACGGACATCCTGCCGTAGCAGGATATTTTCCAGTTGATCCACGAAACGAAAGTTGGAAGTGAAAGTTTGACCAAAGCGTCGATTCACAGTGCCAATGAAAGAGTTTGTCCCTCAAGACTTGACAGTTGTCAAGTCAAGCTGTGACAATGGCAAAAATGCTGGGAAAAAAAAGCATGTGCAGATGATGTTCAAATCGCTGCAGACACGGTCCGGGTCAACTCAACTCACTCCAGGTCCAGGTGCGATGTTTCATGGTATGGGAACCTCTTCACAGAAATTGAGACCTCGACAGGGAGACTTTTGTTAAGGCCAGCCTTGGCCAATCAAGATCGTCCGAAGGCCGGGTTGAGACCCAAAAGTCTACAGGCAGCTGAATGAAAGAGGCTGAGCAGCTGAATGTCTGCAGATATTCTGTTCATTCCAGGGTCAGTATGACATACTCACGAACAGTGGTTCACGTGGCATCGTTGTGGAAAGTGAGACCCTTGGCGGATGATACGAATGGTCCTCGAAACATGATTTATGCACTAAACAATTGCGCATCATGGAACGAACATGATCCTTAAAGAAGGGTCCTCCGACTTTGACCACCCTACTGAGGAGACCTTACCCTCACACCACGCTCCTTCACCCAAGACACTGAAGCGGCCTGCGAACAGGACCTCGACCGCCGCGCCGAAGACGACGACGAATTTCGTGCGGCATCGACTCGGCCTGTGATTTCCGGGTGAGGTGATCCAAATGTGTGTCAATTTCAAACAACGCCAAACAAAAACAACAAAACAACACATGCTGTTTCATATTATTTGTGTATATGTGTGTCAAAAAAACAAACATACTCAAGGGTTCTACCTGTGTCATCTAACTGGCAGGGCCACCGATCAGCTAGCTTGGAATAGCAAGCTCCTGCCGTCTGGGAGTCATGAGCTCCGGTCCCGTTTGGGCGAATCCAATGAATCCGAATCCAATGCCCTCGCCAACTCAAAGGGAGTTGGAACGAATTCCTCGCCATGGCATGGGAGTACGTTTCGCATCATACTGCTCATATCAGGCCTGGCATACTTCATACTTCATCATACTCTCAAAACTGGGAGTCAAGACCATTCAAAAGCCCTGACATGGGACAATTTTACAGACTGCTTCTTTCCAAGATCAGTTGCTTTGTGTTGCTTTGGTTTGACCAAGCTTCACTGAGACTAAGCAGTGGGTCAGATCTGCAAGGGTTGGATCGCACATGATTTTTTACAGAAAAAAACGGAAAAAATCAAAAAAACACAAAAAACACAGAAAAAACAGAAAAACACAGAAAAACACAAAAAAAAAAACATAAAAAACAGAAACAAATAAAAAACTATGCTTTTTCTATTTTCAGCAGCCCATTGACGCACAATTGATCATGTGTGACAACAACAATGTGTCCTTTTTTGAACACACTTGCCACAAGCAAGCAAGCGTCTGAGACCACAACAGTCTGCAGAATCTCAGACTGTTCCTGTCAGACAACGCTCACCACGAGAGTGTTTTTGCATATATTTCTATGTTTTTTTATTTTGTTTTTTTTTCAGATTTTTGCAGAAAATTTCAGATTTTTTCATATGTTTTTCATGTTTTTTCATTTTTAAGATTTTAAAGATGTTTTGATATATTTTGAGATATTTTAAGATTTTGCTCCTGGAAAATTATTTTGTAATTCCGAAACCCTTTACCACGAACCCCGGCTTGTGAGATGATTTGAGATATTTTGAGATTTTTTAAGATTTAAAAATATTTTTTTGATTTTTAAAATGATTTAAATTGATGTTTTTGATATTTTTTTCATTTTTTATATTTATTACATTTTTGTTATATTTAGTTCATTTTTTTAATATTTATTTCATGTTGTTTATATTAATTTCATTTTTGTTAATTAATTATGTTTATGTTTGTTTCATTGAAAAAACCATGATCTAGACCACTTGCAATCTGACCCACTGCTTAGTCTCAGTGAAAGCTTTTGGAAGTCTGGCAAAGTCAATGTCATAACTACGCTCCGACTTACTAACATGGAAATGGAAAATGGCCACTGGGATCACTATTTTCCTCTACAAACAGGTGGTTGTCCACTTCCATGTTAGTGAGTCAGAGGGTAACCGTGTTGGGCGTCCCCAACCAAGCGTTTGCGTGTTGCCAACCCCACCCACGAGGGCGTGGACAGCGGGCGTGTTGCAGCTCGTGAAGCTGGCCTCCAACATGCCTTCTCCTTGGCCATCCGAACTGGAAGCTGTCACCTGGAAGCCAGCGCCAGTAACGAGTGAATCCAAAAACACAGAGAGTGACTGAATGAGAATCCCCTTTTTTGTGGAAATTAAGAAACATCAGTAACAAGTGAATCCAGAAAAGGATCTCCGTTGGCATGACTGGATTCGTTGGCCGTTCTCATAGTTCTGGCCGCTAGATGTGGAAGAAGGATTATTTCTTTGGGCTTTGTGTTGAGGCTACTCAGCAAATAGCAAATCAAGTATCGGCACGAGCCTGAAGAGAAGGAACGGAATGTTGTTACTGGGCATCTCAGCTATACATCTGCACATTTATTCATTGGTTTTGTCCCTACTCGCTGTAGTACTCAAGGCACCCAGAAATAATCATAAATTAATGTAGACCGCAACTGATAAAACATGATAAAACTATAGAAATCCTAGTGCCCCATCTAGTCAAAGGCAGGTGATCCACAACAACTGTTCTTGCGACGGCATTTTTGAGTGAGTTCGTCAGCATCAAAGTGGTGCACTATCTGACAGTCGAAGAAAAACTCTGACACGGACTTGGTGACTTGGCGTTGTCAATCTTCCAAACTCCCTTCCCATGCTTTTTGTCCTTCCACAAAGTTCCCGACCATTTTTCAGAAGTCTCGGTTCCGCATCAAATCGATGACATTCACCACTATTGACTGTTCGCCATGTCCCGCGGTGATTGGCATCTGCCAGGTGTTGCGTGCCTCGCCCACCGCATGTCTTCCCGACCGACCGCAGCACCGGCGCGCTAGGCCGCACCTCTCCGGTGTCCATGATGTGGTACACGGTGCGAAAGCCATTGGAATAGAAGAGCTCCTCCCCGGAGTTGGAAAAAAGAAACAAACCACTCAGTTACACCAGCTCATGTGCAGTCACCCTCACTCACCCGCAGTCACCAACCAGTGGAAGCCATTCATGTCCAAGTCTGAACCAGCCGGCCAGCGGGACTGTGCAGGAACACTTAAACGTATGCTAGAACACAAAGTTGATGACGCCATGTCGAGCTAATCTGGTCCAATTGATCCAGAGTTCAAACATCCTCCATGTTCGAAGACATTTGATTCAAATTGATCAACAAGGGAGCCTGTCAATGTACAGCTGGCAGAAAGCATTTCAAACCCACGTATACCATCAGTTGTAAGTACCTGTAGCCACATACCGGGTTACCCGGTATCATCACCCTGTGTCCAGCCACACATCACCATCCCTGGGTGGTGCCAGATTCTTCAGTGACCTTCCCACATCAACACACTCCAGTCCCAATCACCAGCCAGCGCAGCATATTCGCCGTCGGCCCGGAACCAATGCCCATGATGGCGCATGGCTTGTACCTCGACATGGCCAAGGAGCGCAACGGATTGACACATCTTTGGTCCGTGGAAAAAACCTGTGTCGAGTGCGTTCAATAGATCTGGTTTCATTGCTTTATGTCTTATGTGTCACAGAAATGGCTTGCAAATGTTTGCAGAGTAAACTGGATTGTAGATTCCACAGAACTGAATGGATAATATCTTCTGGCGTGCACAGTCACTCGTTCCAATGCATACTTTCCACTGTACACCGTGTAAGTTCAACATAGAACCTGGAAACGGGACATGTTTGCAGGGGAAGATCGTCTTGCAATGTCTTGCATGGTTTTCCGATTTTCCGGTTCCCTAAGCTTCGACTCCGGCACTATCGTGTTGTATCTTAAGCACCGAGTGGGCGCTCCGCTCAGCCAGCTCGACTCCGGCACCTGCTTGGGGATGGAGAACTCTCGCCCATAGCTGATCAGCGTGTCGGATGCCTGAACCCATGCCACAGTGAAGCCGCCGAGGCCGGCGGCCTGCGGCGCAGGACTGGCGCCCCGTGGCGCAGCACTGTCCTGTGTCCTGTCATTCCGGTGGGGGACGCGTCCGGGTCAAGGAAAAAAGGAATCAATATCATGTGTTCAGTACAGTATAAATAAACGAATATATAACGTATATAATTACTGACACTATATTGTAAGTATCCCTTTAGTATTACAGTATGACAGTATATAGTAAGTATCCCTTTTAGTAT